TGATTTGTAAGTGTGGGGGGTGGGGGGGAGGGAGGGTCTATTTATAGTGTTTGGAAGGGGGGAAGGGATCTGGGGGATTTAATTTCTGGCCGCCTTCACCGCGTTTGTGGAACGCGGTGAATACACCGCTGAAGTCAAAGGCGGTGATGGGGGCGACGTGGACCAGCTGTGAGGCGTCGGATCTGGGAAGAAAACCACGATCCGCGCCTCACCGCATTTGACGGCCACGGTGAAAGGAAATGCGACGCGGATTGCTGACGTTTGATCGTGGCCAACGTACAACAGCGGGGATGTATTCACCGCTTTTAATTAAAACGGTGAAATATTCACTGTTTTAAAGAAAGACGGTGAATACTTCACCGTTTTAGTCCAAAGCGGTGAATGCTTCACTGTTTTAATTTAAAACGGTGAATGCCAAACATGTGTAGTTTTGGAATTTTTTTTATAACTTATGTATTTTGGGTATTTTTTTTAAGAACTAGTGTACTTTGAGATTTTTTCCAAAAACCTGAGGATAGGTAAATGAGTTCTGCAAATAAACAATAACTGCTCAACATGATTGTGTTTACAGAAAGCAAAAAATAAAGCTATCTAGCTAGTGAAAGTGTCTCTCTTGGCACATTCCTTTCACATAGTGATTAGTCGGTACAAGAATATAAGGCATGTTTCCATGTCCTCTTTCTGCGGCCGCCCGGCAAAAGATGATCTATGCTGCATGTGGAACAATCATGAATTGGAGACAAACCCAAAGTTCATGCATACGGACACCAAAACATTAGACATCCTACATTAATATCATGAGGATCAAAGTCTGTATGATAGCTAGCCAACTGTGTTCTTTCTCCTCTTTGTAACACCATTATACCCGACAATCCTCGGACCAACAGTATCCACTTTGCTGCAGAAGCGGATTCAGAAATTTGAGCGAGTACATTCAAAATATAAGGTAGTATTAAAATTTGTTAGTTACAAGTGAGAATTAATTAGGACAACACATCTTACCTCATCAAAGAGAAGACTGGCTATGACCAAGAGGGGAGGGAGAGGGTTAGAGAGTGGGTCCCTTCGGTCGGGATGAAAAACTCTAAATTAGGTATAATAGTTAATTGGGTATGAAAAATAAGACGTATTTAAATGAGAATAGCTGACCTTTTAAATATTTTATCTGTGATTTACAAGTTGTGTATTGGCATATTCAATGTTTGTATAACGATTTATAAGTTATGAACCACCTAAAATTAAAGATGTACTTATTCAATATCAACAACAAATTTTCAAAAATAATTTTATTCCAATAAGGCGTAGGGAGAATCTAATTAGTGACTCCTATTACGAAATTGAGTAAATTAGTATAACATATACTTAATTGAGAATGAAATTTAGGGCACTTTTAATAGAGAATGGTGGACCAAGAGATCATGTGTTTGAATCTTAGCAACCCCATTTGTTAAGCACATTATATTCGAATTTGCAAAAACTTTAAGCACGTATAAAATGGATTTCATTAGCAGGGAAATATTAGTACATTTCTAAATAGTATAAGATCCATTATTAAATCTTCTCAAACAACTCGAATTATTGAACTAAACGGTCTTGACAAAGAACATCGTTCAAAAGCAAATGTGTAACTATATCATAAATAATTTTTTTGATACATATAGAGTGATATTCTTGATAGCTTTGCAATATATTTCATTTCTCAATTTTTTTAATTACAAAATTATATCATGAATAATTTGAAAAGCTAACAAAACTATTTTATCATGAGTATTTTTTCTAAATGAACTCACCCTCGACAAAATCATGACTACGCCCCTGGCTATGACACCGATATAAGCATTGTATGTGGTATAAAATATGTAATTGGTTCTCTTCAAATAACTCAAGTAATTGGGACAATTAGTTCTTTTATGGGACAATCTAGTTACTAAATTGGGAATATATGAGAAATGATCCTTGTATTAATGGAGCTACTCGGTTTAGACAGAATCAAATTCTTCTGTGGCCGAGAGGTATTTTGTTCAAACCCCGATGACCCAATTTATTAAGTACATGGTATTTCGAACCTGTGCAAACTCCAAACCCATAGGAGTGGCTCTTGTTTGAACGAGCTCGTTAATATGTGGTGAATTATTAATCTTTTTCCAACGACTCAAGTTATTTGGGCAACTCCTACTCGTCAACACAATAGTGGACCGCATCTAGACATATAACATATATGAGTATCTTAAACAGTTAATTTTGAAAATTTAATAATAATACATTAAATGTAAATGTAAAAAAAGAACTAAGAAAGAAAATTATGGGACGTAAGCATATGTTAAATTTTACGTGCAACTTTTTTGGAATTCCAACGAATGAGATATAGATCGATATGTTTAATTTGTGAAAAAAGTTATGAATAGTCAAGGGGTGTGCAACTCTTTGGTCTGTATTGGATTGGAGCAGATAAAACAAAAGTTTAGACTCGACCATTTCGAACTTAATATAATGTTATCTGATCTTTAATCACATGAATTTTATAAAACTAAAAAAAAAATTAATCGAATTAAAATTTGGATCTGACCAAATTGAACCGAATGCAATGATGGTCCAATACTAGACACTAAAATGTCTTTCGCTATTTTGCCATATTTTTTTTATTAATTTGATCCAATTTGAATCAAACCGTTGCACCTTCTAATGATGAGTTACTGAGTGAATTCCCACGAATATAGATGACGAGCAAAAAAGAAGTTAAGACTTCAAATGATGTAACAGTATACAGTGATTAGCCACTAGCCAGTGTCATGTCAAACACAACATGAAAAAACAATGGGGACACCCCAAGATGGGCCCATGATTTGCGAGGCCAAACACGGCCCAATTACTTGGTACATGGGCAAATATCGGATCAGTTGGTCAACCACTTTTTTACCTATTTACAAAATTTGGTAAATACCATATTTGGTCAACCTCTTTTTTACCTATAATCTGTTTTAGTAATTGGAGTGACCAAAATTGATATTAATATTTTCTAGTGACCAAACATAACACGATTTAGTAATCCCTCCCAGTGACCAAATGTGTCATTTACCGTTACAAAATTAAAAGCATATATATATTATATATATATATATATATATATATATATATATTATTATTGCACTATATATTCTAATTCAATGATTGGTTCTAGAAATACCTCATCCACATTACTACATAAATGATCGTCGAAATCTTAAAGCATGTATATTATTAATTATAATATATATTAACCATAATACTGGTTACTGTTCACTAACATTAAGAGCAGTTTTGTGTGATATTAACTTTCAAACTGAGCCTAATTTTGGGCTTTTTCTAAGTGACTGCATGATGGGCTTAATCAATTTTAGGCTTGCCTGTAGATAATTTTTTCACAAGGCCTGTTGTACTTTCTCTCCCCGTTTGGTTTTTACCGCCTCGCCCTGATTTTCCAAGTGGGTCATTATTTTTAATGTATATTCATTTTCCAAGTGGACCCCACAACCCCTCACCTAGCTCCGCCACGAGCGGCTAAATTATCATCTAAAGTGGTCGAATGCAATGGTTTATTTATATATATTTATAATGAAGCTACACTGCAGCTAGCGCTGGCTGCTTGACGGCGCCCCGCCGCCTTGGCCCCGCTGATTACCGTTTCAGTTTAGAATTAGTATTGATACAAGTACTCATGGCGGCCGACCAGGTGGCCAAGTTAATTAAGTTGAACAAATTTATATTGAAGGAGCGATATTAGAAAATGAAGCAGCGCCAAAGCAGTCGTTCCCGAGCTAAAGAAAGGTCCTCGTAGAGTCGTAGCCACCGGCACCACTTTCGGACAAGTCTCCGATGACATTGCTAGATTCGCTGTCGCCAGCGGTGGATCCAAGATTGGGTAGAGCACTGAGCCACATTGGAAAAAGGCAGAGAAGGCTGGGCCGTAACACGATGAACACCGAAACAAACACCCAAAGTCAAAAATTTACAAGCTCCGGATCGAGGGAGGGCTGGGCTGTGGCCCGGGGGCGGCCCCCCTAGATCCGCCGCTGGCTCTCGCTACCACTTACGATTCATCATTGTCTTCTTCAAATAACTCTCGAGTGTTTGATATGAATTGATATATGATTTTATATTAGAGTTGATTCTCGCATATGAACATTTACAAATAATTCGAATTAATTATTTAAACCAGTTAATTTAGAACACACTTATATTCAAGTTCTAACAGTAGTTCATGCTCATTTTTATTTACTTATTTACACACAACCGCCAAACCCAAATTAATTGATACTCGCTGAAAGGAGCTTGCCACAAACTGTGGTTTTCTTACATCCATAATTACAAGTCCTTTTGAAAAGAACAACAAATAATAATCTAAATTGGCGAAAAGAGATGGATGTAAGTCGCGTACTTGATCCTCATCGATAATCAAATTGTTACAATAACTTGAGTTATTAGCTAGTAGGGATGTTAGTTTGATTTGGTTAACCAAATCATTAAGCTTGACAAATCAAAAGCCAAATCAGACAAATTTCTAAACCATTAAGATGCTTGTCAGTTATTGGGAAGTCCCAAAAATGAAGTCAGAAAAATCAATAAGAAGTATGAAGAAAGGAAAGAAGTCTACCGTACATAAATTGGTGACAATGCGTGTTGTTGACCAGTATTGACTTAACTAGACTGCTCGATTTCTTATTCATTTTTTTTCCTGTTTTAACCAAAATCAAAACCATCAAGATACTACACAATTTTAAAACCAAATCCAAAATCATTAACCTTCTTACCGATTTGGTTTCGGATAAAACAAAAACAAAAAACCAGAATCAAACTATCTACTGAGAATAGGAATCCATCTTTCGACCGACACTAAAACACATTAATTAGGCCCCACCCAAAACTGATTATTAACATATTACTAATACACTATATATATATGGGCACCGTAGCTATTTACCCTCATATTTTATTTTTTGATAATTATTAATTTCCCCACATATATTATTCAACACTTTTTCTTACCCAGAGGAATCTGCATACAAATTACATAATATATATCAGTGAGAATAACATTAACACAGCGGGTTCTATTAATTAATATATTTCAAATACCACTTTATATATCGATCGCCGACATGCAGGTCTGTAATGAAGCCAAAACAAAGGTCTTCAAGGGACAACACGGTTTCTGTAAAATTGTACAGAGAAGAGAGCTTAAGGAAGGTTCCCCATCTATTATCACAACAAACTCAACTATAATATGAAAGAAAGAGGTAAAAAAAAAAAAAAGCTAAACGGTACGAGACTATATATATATATATATATATAGAGAGAGAGAGAGAGAGAGAGTATGATTGATTATTGCGGCTTCTATCTCTAAACCAACACGAAATTACTACCACTCTATCACCATGAGCTTCAAGCCAAGCTCTTTTATCTTGTTCCTCCACTTGATCATCTTCTTCTTCTTCTACTCCTCCCCCCATCTTCATCACCTTCCAATTCTATGCCTGTCTTGACACCTGTAAATGGAAACTCGACCCTTTATGAAATTGATTGATTTTCCGAAAGAAAACAAAAAAAAAAAAAACTTGATTTACATAACATAATGGGAATCGCCATGCAAATGCATGTGTTGATCCTAGTCATTTTGCTAATTTCGAGTACTTAGTTAAGTACCTGTGGAGATAAATCTCAGTTATACTATAATAATAATATCCCAGAGGCCGGGTGGAATATGATTACTGTAAACAGTTGTTATATATGAAGCTATAGCTGCCTCGATCTCTCGGAATCTTACAAGTGATGCATAGTAAATGAATTTCTATGTAACGTAGGCCGAGAAATATATGATCACCATGTATTGTTCCCCGCCCCATTTCTTTACTCTAAACACTAAACTCATCACCACCCAGAGAGAGAGAGAGAGAGAGAGAGAGATTTGTTGGAAACCCAAAAGCCCCCCCTCCTAAAACCCACAGACCGGCCACAAGCAATTTTTCTTCTTAAAGTAGTTTGGTCCAATCCTACTACTAACAGTCATGAAATGTAAGATCAAATTTAAAGTTAACTACTGCAACCTTGCAAAATATTTTCAGTACTCAACATTTGGACCAACTCGTATTGTAATACACACGTAGCACATTTGAGTCCGGATTTCAGGCTCAACATCAACACACACAAAAAAAAAAGAGATAAAAAAAGGGGGAGGAAGCTGCATGTCTGAAAAATAAACATCTAGTTCACCTTAAAATAATGGACGACAAAGAATTTGGAATAATATTGTAAAAGTTTGAGTTGGTGAAACGGAAAACCAAATTAGCAAGACCCCTTTTGTTTTCCCCCTTCCAATTAAGCACACATCCAGAGTGATAATAATGAGTGTCTTCTTTAACCGGAAAGCTAGCTAGCTAGCTCTTTAATTGTTAGAATTAGTTGGGCAAATGCCACTGACAGTCGCCACAAGAACACATTACTTACTTTTAATCAACCCAAGTTTGAAGGTAGAAATAAAAAATAAAAAAGGATAGCAAAAGGAGGATATAGTACGGAGATGAAATTAAAAAAAAAAGTTTACCAGGAAGTAGCTTTCCCCGTGCTGCAAGCCGTGGAGGAGGAACCCAAATTCATTAACCGGCAGCGAGAGGCCCGACGAATGAAACAACACCACATCCTCCCCGAACATGCTCCTCACGTCCACCGGCCCTCGAGGCACCTCCGTCGCCACCCCGTTTATGAACACCGTTATCATCATGAACCCCGCCGCCTGCCCTTCATCTCCGCCTCCACCTGTTCATTTCATTTGTTACCCAAATATTATTAGACCCCAACGAGAGACTAGCTAGGTATATAACCATAAAAAAAAACCCACTTTCCTTTCCAGAATCTGCATAGATTCTCCTCGGAACTACAAGAGAAGACATAGCTAGAAGCATAGGTGGAGAAGGGTGGAGGGGACCATTTTTGGAGCCAAAGGAGGGACAAACATAAACAGTAATAAAAGCATGGAACAATCCTCTACAAAAGCTCCTCTCCCTCCCTCTCTCTCTCTCACTCACTCTATATACCAAGATATGTGAAGAAAAAAAGAAAGCGAAGCAAATGGGTACCTTGGTAGAGGAAACTGGAAGCCGCCGGAGCTGCGGCGGAGCACATTATAATATCGGAGCTGGGTGAGGTGGTCATCAGCAGTCCACCGCCAGAGCTGGGAACCACGGCGTCCTCGAAACCGCTGCCTAGCGCCGCCAACGGGTTCGGGAGAGAAGAAGAATACATGCTCTCCTGATCCATCGACGCTCCCCCCTGTCCCTGGCTGAGAAAGTAGTTATACGAAGACGACGACGAAGGAGAAGCTGGGCTCAGGCTCATGTTCCCCACAAACCCCTCCAACTGAATTGCACCACCGCCGGCGGCGGCGGAGGCGGGGTAGTTGTTGTTGTTGTTGATGTTGAAGCCCATGCCCATGGTGGTGGTAGTGCTGCCCTGGGCGTCTCCGGCGGCGGCGGCTGCTGCTGCGGCGGCGAGGCTGGCCTGGAGCTGGCGCTGGCGGCGGCGGGATCTGGAGCGGCGGTTCTGGAACCAGTAGAAGACGTTGGCGTCGCCGACGGAGCCGAATTTCTCGAGGAGCTTGCGGATGCGGACGGTCTCGTCTTTCGGCGGGTTCACCATCCCGCTGTTGAAGATGGACTCCAGGATCAGTATCTGCTCCGGCTTCGGCGTCCACCGCGACCGAACCGTCTCCCCACCGCCACCTCCACCGCCATGCCGCTGCCCCTGCCCTTGGTTGCTGTTGTCTTCCATTTACGGGGAACAGGAAACCTACAGCTAAGTAACCTCTCTTTTTTTTATACTATTTTAAAGGGGGGAAATGGAATAATAATTTTGCTGTTGCTGCAGTCGCTGAAAACTAGGTCATCCCCAAAAAACAAAAAATTACGCACCCCTAAAATAATAACTATATATTAATTATTAACTCAAAATATGTGAGAACTGGGATCGAGCTTGTTTGGAAAGAAAAAACAATAACATGTATGAAAAAGGGAAGGGGAAGAAGAACTAGCTAGAAAGCAAGGGTTTGGTCTGGGAGCAAGAAGATGAAGATGGAGCAGGAAGGAGGGACATGTATTCTGATCTATGCATGTGTATATATATATATATTTTATGGAAATTCTGTGGTTGGGAATGTTAGCGCTTTGGGAAATTACTATATCAACCTTGGGATGACGAATTCTGTTGCATTCTTTATTTCTTTATTTGTTTATTTGCACTTTGGGAGCTTTCAACTTAAGTTCCAGAAAAAGACTACACACTCTCATTATGAGCACACTCGCCTTAGCCACATCATGATCCCCAAGTACTTATGTCATGAATAGACCACTAATCAATCAAGCTTTGATATAAATCATATAATATTTACTCAAATTGATTTTAGTTTGACTTTTGTTATATCAAGTTTTAACTCTAATGTAGTTATATACCATCATGTGGATTTTTTTCAAATATACAAGAATTACTATAAAAAAAAACATTTTCATAAACCATATTGATACTAAAAATTTTCAAAATACACAAGTTCTAGTTTCCAGCAATTTTGTTGTTGGTTCTTTGGAGACAAAAAGATACTTTTGTTGCAGGAGTATTTTCAAAATATATGCCGAAAGAAAAAAAAAATCTAAAGTAATCTTCAAAACCTCTTAAATCAAAAAACATGTTCTCTTTTTTTAAATCTTCTCCATAGTAAAAGTTGTATTAATGCTCAGATGGTGGAGCACAAAGACGTGGTTGTCCAAATTTTATCGAAATCGCAAAATGACCCATTTTGTGGCAGCAATCGACATGTTTCATGACGAACATGGATTCAACTATTTGCGGCTTTGAAGATTTCTAAAATTTGTGCGAAAAATAAACTTCATGTCGATCAGATAACCGAGGACACAACTATTGTCATTTGAATTTAAAACGTACATAAGGCACAAATCGGTCCAATAATCTTCATGCCAGATCATTGGAGTCAGCAACAATTTGTGTAATCTGCGCCTGTTTTGGATCGATCTGGGTGTAAATCGCGTATGTTTGGAGCATTCCGTTTGAAATCACGGTGGTCTCTAGCAAACCAGCATGAAAATAGATGGAAAGTACATCGAACCATGCCAAATTTGTGTATTTTTTAAATTTTTAGTGGAAGTGTTTTGGGAATTATTTTTAAAATTGATAAAATGAAAAAAAAAAACTCATTATGTCATGTGAGCCTCCATTTCTTAAATAATTTTGTATTCACCGCATGTATTTTTGATTATCCAGGAACCTCAGCCCCACATGTCACTTTGTGACACCAGGTCCTAATAAACCTGGGGGCCACCTGCAATCAAATTCGACGCCAACGGGGCTTCACCCCAGCAACTTTGTACTTCCGGGAACACCAACGGGCCTCGCTTGAATTCGAACCTGGGATCTGCACCTCCCAAACCTTCAGTGTCGCGGCAGCTTTACCGTTAGACTATCTTACTTTTGGTTATTCACCGTATGTATCATGTTATCGATTTTGTAAAGCAAGGGATTATTTCTCGTGTTTACTTAAGGTTGAACTTTTGTTATATCATGTTATAGCTCTAATGTAGCTCTACCATTATGTGAGAATCTCCATTTCTCAAATTATTTTACTTTCTTTCATCGTATCATATTCTTCATTTTGTAAACAAGGGTTGTTTCTCAAACTTTTCCAGAAGAATTAATTTGATGATTAGTTTTCTCTTCTAAATGCATACCCGGCCGAATGTGTTGACAGGTTCCTACCTATACGTCTAAGCAAAATATCCTGACCTGCCCCTGATTTGTTATGGACATGATATGAATATTTAGATACCCGCACTTTAATTACTCATCTCATTGTCATATAATTGCATCTGCTATTTTTAGTTATAAGAAAGAAGAAGAAAAAAGGATAAATGGGATCGCTGCATTTATTAATGTTTAATGGAAGCAATATAGATATAGGCTTATAGGTATTTCAATTAGCATATAACTCCACTAGTTAATAGCTTAGTACTTGATCAGTACATATATTAATTAACGAACAATATCTAAATCATGGATCCTCTGTGTCATGTCTTGGGCAGAGTCAACCGCGTGACTTTGTTCTTCCCGTGTTAATTATGTGCATCGAACGCGGTTGGTTAGCAAGTTGAGCTTTTAATTACTAGATTTTATCATGGATCCTCTGTCGAGTAGTACCGTCATCTATTTGTCCAAATAAGGATGTACTTTCTTATAATGGTTGTGGTCCTGTGAATTTTTCGATGTATACGAGAAACAACCGTCAACTACCTTGTGACACGTAATCATATTATGACTCTTTTAACATTAATCATACTAGTTCATTGTTTATAAGTGTAGGTGATCAGTTGACGATTATTGCAAATCTACACATAATATAATACGCCGAAGGAAAAATGGGAGCCCCATTTCAAATTTCCTGCAACGAGAGTGAAAGTAGGAAGGACATTTTGGTATTCACAATTACTTTTTTTATTCATTAAAAAGACAAGTACTGAGATTCGAACCATGATCATTTTAAAGAAAAACGAGAATCACAACCAATCACACTAAGTACATTTGTTGTATCTTTTTAAATTAAAAACATATAATAGCAGGGAGGAAATAACTCTTCCCCCATTTCAAATTTCCTGCTCCATGAGCGTTTGTAGGAAGGGTAGAATAGGGAGTGTCAGTTTTTTTTCTATTTCCTTTGTGGAACGGGCCAACTTACCGTACACATGCGGATTTGAACGGGTCCAGGAGTGTCAATTTTTTTTCTTTAAGCCACGAGAGTGAAAGTAGGAAGGACATTTTGGTCTTCACAATTACTTTTTTTATTCATTAAAAAGACAAGTACTGGGATTTGAACCAAAATCATTTTAAAGAAAAACGAGAATCACAACCAATCACACTAAGTACATTTGTTGTATCTTTTAAATTAAAAACATATAATAGTAGGGAGGAAAAAACTCTTCCCCCATTTCAAATTCCCTACAACAAGAGCGTTCCCATTTCAAATTTCCTACTCCAGAAGCGTTTGTATGAAGGGTAGAATAGGGAGTGACAATTTTTTTTCTCTTTCCTTTGTGTAACGGGCCAACTTACCGTACACATGCGGATTTGAACGGGTCCAGGAGTGTCAATTTTTTTTCTTTAAGACCTTTTATTTCTCCGTGGTGTTAAAATATATATGAAAAGGCAAAAATAATACTTCTTTTTATTGCTAAACATAAAAAGTTTAACAATAAACTAATGCATGGTATCTAATGGGCTAACCGCTAACCATAAAATAAAAGAGTTTGATGGGTCTGACCTACACGGGATTTGGCCATCAAGTAAAACAAATGAACATCATTGGTTTGACATTCTAAAACAAGCTATTTTCTCTGGCATAATATATATTATGCGATTATTTTATATCTTAGTGGCTAAAATATAATGTATTTTAAAGTTATTCAATGGTTCAACCTCGACCAACCCAATTAGTCCAATTTTTATCATTTCAAATATATATTATATAATTATTTGATATCATAATGATCAAATTATAGTTTATTTTATAGGGAATCATTTGATATTTGTTAGTAAAAAACTAAACAGAAAGATCTATTTGGTTATTTTAAACATTAAAATGATCCTAAATATTTTCAGTTCCTTTTGAATTTCTATGGTTTTATTCGCGAATAAGTGATGTGCAAATGGCGAATTGCAGTCATATCTTTTCTTTCACTGTTTTTTATTTTCAAATAGAAAGTTTAAAAGTAAAGAATAATTAGAATTTGTCATGGGTCGGTCAAACATGCTGAGTTTCAAGTTTCCTGATACCCGATAAAAATCTCAATCCAAACCAGTTTGTCAAGTGAGTCCGTGTTTACCACCATTTTCTAGGGATACGACAACGGCAATTCCTATCCCAAATCGTGTTGTTCGTTCTTGATTTCCTTAGATTTTATTATGGCCTGACAAAAACCATAAAGTCCAATGACGACAAAATGAAAGTTTTATAAAGCAAATTAATCGGCCAACGGACCGAGTAAAAGCTAGTAACGATTGTGAGATGCTCATTTCCCGAAAACCAACGGGATAGACGATTTTTTAATCGATTTTCTGGAATTCGGTTTATATAAAACTTACTCCTCCTCATCATATTATCAGAAATAATATTGTTTCACAAGGTAACATGTACTTGATTTTGGTTCATAAGGCCGATTTTTGATTCGTTGCATCATTCATGTCTCTTTCCTACTAAAATTCACTATTTTTATCACGTGTTTCCCAAAAAAACTATACAACAATAAGCTATACACCTCATTACATTATCAAATTGCATACCTCACCTTCCTCCGGCCAACTGGCCGAGGCTCACACTAGTTTAAATAAAGGAATAGGTGATTAATATTACTCATTATCTTTCTCGATAAGAAGGCTCTCGTCGGAGTGCAACTGATACTAACTATGAACAATCGTTGTGGGATAGATATTAACAATTTGGTGGCCAATTGTTGTAGCTAGGGTTTGTGAGGGCAAACATGGTTGTGTGACAATAAAATTTATTTTAAGAAGTTTCTTATAATTCGAGTTGTTGGGATGAATTAGTTATTGGCCTCTATGTATTATACAGTTTTTGATCGAAATATCTCGTGTTAATCTTGATACTTCATATTTCCTAATATTAATTATTGACTTGTACACAAGGTATGTAGACCCTATACAATTTTACTTCTATAGGTTAGCATTAGTTTGAGAAGATTTGTATGTCATTTGTTCGAATTCAAGATTGTATGACAAATTAATATGTTGTCCTTGAATTTACCCAAATAAATTATAAAGTAGGTAGGGTTCCTTGGATTGCCTTTAGGGATGACAATCAAACCCATGGCCGCGGGTATCCGACCGCCACCGACCCAGTCAGCGCAAGTAATCCCAGCTTTGACCGGGTATGGGGCGGGTATGGGTAAAACCCGCAAAAAGTTTGAAGGGTATGGGGCGGGTATGGTTTTAGCCTCCTCCGCCCCATACCCATACCCATATCCGCCCCACCAAGAGAATTTCTTCACATATACAAAAACATGTGGATCAAATTGTAATCTATCAATGGTGATGAGGATAACTCAAGGAAAAAAATAGTAGAAATGCAATTGAGTGACCACTTTAATCAAAACCTAATTCATTTCCCTCAATTCTCCTTTCACTCTTTCCCTTTCCCCCTTGTCAACAAGATTATGTTAGTTAATTATTACTTAGTAGATGTATAAGAGTTAGAACATAATAATTTGAAAAATATTATACTCTATATTATGTATTAATGAATGTTTTAGGATCATATTCTTTGAACCGTATTAAGAAAATGATCGTGTTTTGTTTAATTCGTGATATAATAGGTACGTTTAGAGTTGTAGTTAAAAATTTTCTTGTGAATTTTTGGATAATAGTGTTGGATGCACGGGTACGGGTATTACCCATGGGTACCCGAAACCCATGGGTATGGGGATGGGTTTGCTGAACATTCCCCCGCATGGGTATGGGGCGGGTATGGGTTTGGATATTTTAAGATGAGGATGGGGATGGTTTAGACAAACCCGTCCCATTGCCATCCCTAATTGCCTTCGAAATGGACAGTCCTTTCTTAACACTTTCGGTATCTTTTCTTTCAGGAGCATATTTAGCATCTACAGTATCGAAGTTCCATATGGTATGCTATTCATGCATTGATGAAATTATCAATCGCTGTTCAAGGCTAATGCATATAATTAACTTTTAGTTATCCTGGACAGCTTACAATACAAATAGAGTAAGAACAGATAATGAGAGCAAATGACTCCGTGGCCCAATGGATAAGGCGCTGGTCTACGAAACCAGAGATTCTGGGTTCGATCCCCAGCGGAGTCGTTTTGTTTACCTTTTTCTCTTTCACTTAATAAGTCTAATCTTGAACGTTTTCAGTTTTCATGTGTCTAAGTTTATTGCATAAATATTTTTCAATACTTCTTTCAAATAAATATTTATCAATACTTTTTTCAAATAAACCAGTTTAATTGAAAACTAGATTTGTGCTCGGTCCGTTGACCGGATCTATTTTATCAATGATAGTACGACAAAAACAATTATTTAATGCATCTAAACTATCTAATTATTGGAAAATTGAAAGTTCATATGCAACATAATTTTCACATAGTATAATTTATTTCATCCCAACCATAAACATTCTATGAGATTAAGTTTTTCTCTCCATCATCAAGCCTCTCTTACTTTTTCCCAAATCATCATCATCTCCATCATCAAATCCACTAAACCCTAAAGAAAAAAAATTCGATGATAAAATATTTGAAAGTGCGAAGCACCATTTTCAATTAGTAAAATTTACCTCATCCTTGTTATCAACATTTTGAGGTTACTCTTCTTCATCGTCCCTTATCTTGAAAACTATTCACTTATGAGGTTAAAAAATTATAATTCATGGGCTTGATTTTAAACTTTAAATTTCCCTCAATCGTGGGGATGAAGTGGTGGAGGTCCTCCTGTTCCTTCACTATCTTATAATAGCTTTTTAGTAGGTATATACATTGACCCTAATATTAGAGAAAGCATTAGCATCTGAATATAATGACTCGTGCTCAAGATAATAAAAGACAAAATGATGTTCATCAATGGAAAATCCGAGCTCTTCAATTCTTTCAATCCAATCTCAACACCATTGGCAGAACAAACTGTTCCAATTTTTAAAATGAAAGATTTACATTGAGATTTTGGACAATAATATCTTTAAGAGCTCGATTCTGCTGTCATATTGGACAAATGAGTTGGTGAGTTTCTAGACTTTTAGGGACAACTTGATTCTCATGTCATCGGACAATATTTTGCATATATCAAGAAATACATTTTTTAGAGAAATTTGCAGTTTAGGTTCAAGTCTGCATAGCTCAAGTATAAACCACAACCGTTTGTATGAGGAAGCTTTTGAAAAATTCAATTATTGAGTATGCTTAAAACATATATTATCCAAGTTAAAATAATAAAGATATGATCTCTTGAAAAATAATAAGAGAATAATTACACACTTAGAATTATAGATATAATAATATAATTATAAACCAACAATAATCTACAATACGTATCCTAATACAATTTGAACACGGATAATTATAATAATATTTAATCAAATAATGAAAATATTAATAGTTTAAAACATGGCTAACTATAATCTACATTACATTGCATCCATTAGAAAGCTAGCCTAAAAGACAAAACAACCCTTCCGCATTGTGCACAGAAGAAAAAAAAAATTGAATTGGGTGGGTGGTGATATAGAATCTCCTTATATTGTTTGTAGGATGAGTGATAATTAAATAAGTTCCACATAGCCTTCGAATAAGGCTTGCCCGTTATATTTATTAATTTAACATCGACATTGCCCTCAATGGCGTAAAATAAGGGGTAGAACGATGTTACCACATAGCTTGGAGAGTGAAAGTCGGGACGAAATTGGGCCGAAATGAAGAGGAGAGAGCTTCATGGAGACAAAAACAAACACACACAAACTCGCGCAATGCGAGTTTATTTCACAATAATAGTGCTTACCATAAAAACAAACACAAACCTACGTTTGGTTGCCTCGCAACAAGCGCTACTTTTACGTCATAAGCTAAACGGTTGTTCCTTAAGCTTCGGTCCATCCGAGAACCTCTTTGAAGTTAAGGTTCTCGTCGGTGAGGTGGTGTCTCAAGTCACGAGCACTAGACGAGTCCATGATTGAGAGCTTGTGAACTTGAGTGGCTTTGAGGCTCCACCCACAAGACCTCTTCTTATTCTTTTCTTCTTCTTTCTCTTTGCCCCACACCATGTCCCGCATCATCGATTGACTTCCATCACATCCATGTCTTCAATTTTAACTTCCTCTTCCACAACCTCTTCTCTCACCTTCCCATCCATGTCATTAAGCACGGTTTGGAGGGCAAAATGTCCTGCATTCTCTTGCTCCGCTTCCCTCGTGACTTGGTCTTCAAAGTTAGTCTCGGGAAGGGGAACATGATGAGAGTCGCAAATGAGACACTCTTGATCATCCTCACGATGGGAGCTCTCTGGGATGAGTACTTCTCGTTCCACATAGTCTTCATTGACCTCCCCTCTAACCTCCACTTCTTATTCCAATTGTGAGAGGCGATGACGGGCACAAGCTCGTGTCACCTTCTCTTCTAGTGTCAAACCGGGAGGAGGGAGGGGTTGAAAATCCATGTTGTATCTCGTTCTTCCAAAGGTTTCATGGCTCGCCTCTCCGGCTTCCTATCTTCCTTCAAATGGTAGAAGGCGATTGCGAGCAAGTTGTGCACATGCTTCCTCAACAAGCCCTCCTAGCATCTCCATGTGTCGAAAGAGATCATCCGATTTCAGTATAAAGGTGGAGTCGAAATGGGCGACAAGTGGGAGGTCCATGCTAGAGCACCCTTCAACGGTGCCCCCGGCATATCGCTCCACCATGAGCTCTAATTCGCTCTTTGGTTCCGGTTGTGGAGTGGCACATAGTCTTGAAGTTTGTCCCACGAAAGCCTCTATTACCAACTCCAACTTGGATTTCTCCTCGGTTTGTGGAGGGAAATCTTCTTGATATGGGGAAGCTTATTGATATCCCCATTGGTATGGTTGTTCTTCTTGGAAGGTGGGTTGGTAGCCACACTTGGGTGAAATCATAAGGATCCATGATCCAATACCTATAAACACTAAAAAGGAAAATAAAAAACACACAGACCACCCTTCAAGATGAAGAGTGGTAAATGAAACACAAATGAAACACAAAATAAAAACAAAAAGGTAAGATAGAAAATGCTAGAGTAACACTAAGCGACCTTTTCAAAATAATGGACCGTAGGTCCCCGACAACGGCGCCAAAAACTTGACTCGCTCAGAACTACACCGCGAATTAATCCTGACTAGAGCCCAACGTGTTAAACTCTAGTCGGGTGCAGTGTATGGAAAGTATTTAAATTGTCAACACGGGCCGGTCCATGTACTCCTACTTCAATCTCTTAAGTTGTTATCTAGCAAATGGTTTTGGGTTTAAAACTAAGAAAAATACAAAAGAAAAAAATAAGTAAAGTAAAGCGAGGAGAATTCTATATGCATGAGAGGACTTCATTTGGGTATTGCTCCTCCTACTCTCGTATTAAGAAACAATGAACGCAACTCTAGTATGAAGGACTTGTTCTTATACCGTGAGGCAGGTGCAACTAGCTAGGGACAAACTCTCCTAGTCGATCGATTAAGGATCGCAACAAAAAGCTAGTGAACCAAGCTCTCTTAACCGATCGACAAAGGAAGCCCTTACTCTCTTAGTTGACATAGTTGACCAATTTAGAATTGTTGCAAGACTAACTCTCTTACCTTTCGGCTAAGGATGACGACAGTAGGCTAGGTACTCTATCCCCCTCTAAACCGGTCGACTAAGGATTGCGAAGAGCGACCAATCACGTCAAAATCATGGTCCTACTCCGATAAAGATTAAAGGGGAAAAATTTAAGTCTTTTCATGAGAGAGAATGGACGCTAATCTGGCGGATAAGGATTGAATTATCCATAATTATTCACCACAAAATTATGAACGGGAACTACTCTCGGGATTTCGCAAGTTTCGGCCGTTGACTAATTTGGAAAGGAAATCCGACCAAGTGTTGTATTACTTTACGTTCATGAAGATTTAAAAGTGGGTTTCTTTTTCCCCCGAAGCTTATAAGGCGAATAGAACGACATTTTCCTAGTCACTGAATGGGAAATGCAAGATTAACTGACATCTTTCTTTGGGGGCAAAAAAAGAAAGACATGAATGAAACCGACACTTGACCTAACCTTTGCCTCCTATACTTGGGCACAACCTCAAATTGGGTAGGCCAAACCGCAGGAATAACTCCCCACTGTTCCTTTCCATGCAAACATTATTCTAATCATTCAGTGATAAGCTTCAAACACTAAAGTTGTCCTCAATATCGGCTATACCATCATTGCATTCTAAATGGAAATGTCGGTTCATGGAGTTCCCCGAGTTCAATTATTGGTGCTGAAACGATAGATCAGTATAATGGTAACCAAAATTAACCTCAAAAGATTAATCTAATTTGATATGATATGAAGTGGATTGTCTGTCATATCTCTAGTATATATGTCTATATATGTTTAGATTTTTCTGGCTAGTTTGGTCTGTAATCTTATTTTTTATTAGATTGGATTAGGGTTTGACCATCTGAAGAAGTACTATATATTTCTCAATTTCTCTGTAATTTGTATATCTTCAAGGGTAATAAAACTGGCTTTCTCTTAACTTTGGACTAGCTAAAATACATTATGTTAGTAAACCACGTAACATATGTATTCTTTACTTTCTTGCATTATCGATTTTCGGTTCGTTTTAACACTAATGATAATACGAGATAATAAGATTTATCACAAGTGGAGTTAGACTCTTCCATCGCTAATTATCAGATGAAAAAGAACGGCATCAACATCATGTTCATTCCCCTTAAAAATAAGTTGGTTTCTATCATGTCTAAGGTTTCAAGTCAAAACGTGGAAAACCGACAGAAGCAAAGATGTATAGAGAATGTGCCTTGCAATACTCATTTTCAATTAAAGCTTTTTTTCATATCGTTTGCTGAAAACAATCGTTAAAATTTTCAGCTATTATAATATTATCTACTGAACTTGATCATTATAACCTCTAACCTAATTTATCATATTCACTACACTTTTGGGTGTTTGATTTCAAATAAATGCATATAATTTAGTTCTAGAGAATATATGCATATAGTATTTATCATATTTAGTGGAATTTTTGGGTGTATTACAATACATGAATATAAATAGGTGGGCAAGTGAGAAAGATTATAAATTTCATATTGATCTAACAGATAAATATTGTAGAAATTAGACAATATATGAAGGAAAAATAATATGCATGATCAATATCCATAATCCGTAATTAATAGTTGAATGGGAAAATAAAATAAAATAAAATAGGGAATTTATAACTCAGCAAGGGGCTGCATGGGAAAGTCCCCAGAAACCAGTGGTCAAAAATGGTAAAGGGAAACCTGTACAGAAAGGGAAACAAAAGATGGTGCATGCTAGCTAGGGTTTTGTTTGGTTTTTTGTTTCTTTGTTGCTATCTTATTTATTTAATTTCAAAATCTCCCCATAAAATTATTTCTGGGTTGTGAACACTGAGCAAGCAAGTGCATGTGCTTTGGTGCATGGAAAGATGAGTCCTACGAAAAAAAAAATTAATTATTTAAAAAGGTTGGGTGAAGCCTTTTTTTTTCAAAAAAGAGGGGAAAGAATCCAAAGAAAGGGTCAAGAAACAAAGAAAGAAACCGTGCAAATATGATTAAAATAATGCCTACTGTGACGTATTTGTTACATGGCCAAATGGGTTTGCAAAAATTTGGCTTGAACTTGGAACGCATCTATGGCGACGATCAGTACGTAGCCTACTGTAAAAATTCTTTTGTTTGTTCGCCTGTTTCTAGGCTTTTTAGTATTATTCTTCTTTTTCCATTAGGGTTTCTTATTTTATGGAGAAGTGCAGGAAAGGAAGCAGATAAACCAACCGACTTTCGATCAAGATCTGCTGTCCCTTTCTGTGGGCGTGGTCATGAGTTTGTGTGCAACTGCTGAAGCATGCAGCTAGCTAAGCTACCTGCTGCATGTCTATAGATAATTACATAAACATATATCTATCTTTCTATAAGCCTCCAACTGAAACAAAAGATTGCGAGCTAGAGACCTTGGAGTTCAACGCTATATGTTTTCTCCATCTTTTAGGAATATGATCTAAAGGTTGGGCTGTTGCAGCTACTGGCTTCCTGGTGATGTTCAGTTGACAACTAATCTCTGTTTTTAGTATACCATTGGATATCGAATCGGAAAAGTTAGTAATTATGGTGTAGTGGTTAATTGTTATAGAACTTTGGTTAAGTGTTGATAGAACGGGACATAAAAATTATACCAAATTATAATACATGACTGGTTCATAACTGAATTTATCACTATTGAAAAATAAATTCAAAATCATATATTATCTATCACCAAAATTATACCAAATATCATTCAAATTGTCAACTAAAGAAATCATAAAAATATTTATTATATTCAATTTAGTATGGTCTTAGTAATTTATGTTGAATGGTCTTATTATACATTAAACCATTTTTTTCTTAACTTTTTTGTGGTTAAAATAGTGGACTTGTCAATCCGGGGCGATTCATCTGATTAAGCGGTTCAACCTATTACAACTACCAATTTGGTTGGGTTTTTATACCAAGCAAATAACTATTAGTTACAATTATGCTTATTGTAACTAATTCAAAAGCACAAATTCAAAAGAGATTATTATCGATACAAGAATCTGACATATACTTGTCCAATATCAGTTAATTTCAATAACTCAAGTTATTGGTAGAAATTTTGATTAGTAATTTTACAATTCTTTAAAACATTGGTGCTTTAGTTTTTTCTTTTATGGTACAACTTGAAGTTGTATTTTTAACGTTTTGGTACAACTTTAGGTTGTATATATACTCTTTTGTAAAATTCTTTTATGGTACAAACTAAAGTTGTACATTTATGTTATAGTGCAACTTGAAGTTGTACCACAACATAAATATTAAATTCTCTTATGGTACAACTTCAACTTGTACTTTTAACGTTATCATACAACTTCAAATTGTATTTTAAAGCACTAATCCTTTAAATCATAATAAAAGTGCTGAAAGCACGTAAAATTTCAGAAAAGAGAGTGTTTTGGGCATTGCAAGAGAACGCTATAAGGTACATTAATATCGGATTCCCGTCCAACAGATTTACTTATTGGAAGAATTGATTCTTGCATGTTATTAAAATAAGGAGGCTTATCAATTGAAAAGTTATTTGTCGAGGTAGATTCCAATTACCCTTTAAACTCAAAGTTAGCTATAGAGAATGTTGTCTTCTACAAAACTTTAATCTCGGTTAACGAATTTTTATATGAGGTGTGAATTATATCATTCTTGGTTAATAACTCCTAACTTAATCACTCTCTCTTTTTGCAATTGTACTATTCCTTTTACCATATATCATTTTTCGGTTAGAGTGAAACATTTTTTTACCAGTACAGAATGGAACTTGAATTAGATTAAATATTACAAAAAAAGTCAAACCGTACATATATAATATAGGGTATGCCTATGGTGACATGCATGTCACCGTAATTTGTACTTTTCGGTCGACTTAATCCTAATAGAGGTCGACTGAATACATTAATGTGGGCACCCTGATGACTTATCACGGTCGACCTTTAAAATGTAGTGGTCAACCGTTTGTAGTTTAAGTTGTCATTGTTGGTCGACCACAATAAAACATCGGTCGCCCTTTTCATTGGCGTCATAAGCAAAATGGCCGACCGTAAAGGTATATAGGTCGACTACTTAATGGCAATCATTAACAAAATGGTCGACCATTTACAGAATGAGGTCGACCAGATAGAAGAGAAGTGTTGTATCCATTTATCCATCACCATTTGACGTAAAATGAAGATCAAGAGTGTTGGTTTCGCGGTCAACCTAATCTGGTACGAGATCGACCGAATACAGTATAATCAACCTATGCCCTACATCTTTTTGCTTATATATGTCGATGTGGGTGGTTCTTTTGCTCGTACAAATTATGTTTCAAACCAACAGAATCAGTCATAAATAATGAAAGCAAGGACTCATAACTTTATAACATAACAACTAAACAAACTAACAAGAAATACAATAAAACACAAATCATAATTGTTCACACATAACTAAAATCTAAAACCACATAATATCAATTCTTAATCCATTTTAACACTTAACAACAAAAACTGAAACAACATATTAGGTCGATCTAATCCTATATAAGGTCAACCTAAAAATGCAAATTACGTTGACATGCATATCACCGTAACAAAGTCCTATATTAATATATTGTACTCATATATATTTGTTTGATCACTTCTTTAGTTGACTCTTCCATGTCGGTTACAAATAGTTTAAACACGAGAGTTAAAAAGCATAACGTAGGTAGAAAAATAATATACAATTGTATATTTACCTTTAAGTTTTAGGTTGTTGATGTCTTATTGCTCTCAAAAGTATACTAGCATTGATTATAAAGTTTATTACTAGTACCCAATATATATTTGTCAGAAGTTCGTCAACTTCAAATTTCCGATAATTGATTTTTGGAATGATATTAATATCAGATCTTATGATAATTGAAACCTGGTTTATATGGATTATGTAAAATTTTAATTTTGTTTACTTTGGTATGAGGTACATTTCTAATATCATTCTCTTCTGAGGGAAAGAGTAAAAGACCACCTAATTCATTTGCTCTTCCCTTTCTTTAACTCTTTCCTTTTTGTAGTGGTAATATCATCCTCATCTTATCTTTTATCCTTTTCATGTTTGAGGGAGGATGAAACTCAAATCAGATTGAATATTAAAGTAGTGTCAGACCGTATAGTATATATATAAATATATTATCCCGCTCAGTACTTTCATCCTTTCTTTTACTCTTTTGCATGTCAGTTAGAACTGGTTTGAACACGAGCGTTAAAAAGTTGTAACGTAGATAGACCAATAAATTAATCACAGTTCTCCCTCATTTTCCTTATACATGTACATTTGTATGCTTTTAGGTTGTTGCCTTGTTGGTGTCTTGTTCGCTTGCTATCAAAAGTTCTTGAGCCTCTCTTCTATTGCATGAGCACTACTGAAAGTATTTAGTTTAGCTGGTTTGATCACAACAAACGATAACAAAACTTGACGAGAAACAAAAAAGAGCCTCGTCTCTTTTAGTAGTTGGCGGGCTGCACCTTGTTGGTCCACGTCCAGAATGTTGGGCTTTTCTGCATTCTCACTTGGGCTTTGACCTCCTTGACGTGAAGCCCGAATTCCATGGTTTGTCTTTGTCGCACTAAGCACATCTTACAGGCAGCTTCCCTCATTCTTTAATTATTATTTGGGTAGGATCTACATTGTGTATTATTGTCCGCGTTAACATTAGCAAATCTACTATACTATATAGTATTGGTGCTTTAATGTACAACTTTAAATTACTTTACTCTGCAGACTGCTGCTTCGATTATAGGCGAGGGTTTATCGGGTCCTGAGATATCGGAAAAAAGTGAAAGAATTACTTTCCTCTCTCCTCTCCTCTCTCTCTCTCTCTCTAGGCCGTTGCGATCCTTGCTTCGCCGGCGGATCTCCGTCGCGCGAGCTTTCTGATCGGAACGGACACCTCTCTCGGCCGTCACCATCTCTGTTTGATTGAGCCTCTTCAAGCTCCGATGGTCTCCATAGGCCAATCATGGGCTGATTTGTTCGGTATTGCTGAGGCAAACCGCCTGGTGTATATCGAGCCAGAGCTCGTTGATGGCGGCTTGAGGATCCCTGAGGAGTTAGTGAAAGAAGGTGAAGCTCGGTGGAAGAACAGTCTTGTTGGACAGTTTCTCCATTCTACTCCGTCTGTGAAGCAATTACAGAGTTGGGCTAACAGATTATGGGGCAATTCAGGTGCTGTTAGGGTTTCGAAATTCAGCGAGCAACTCTTTGTGTTCCAGTTCCCAAATTCGACAGTCGCCGATTGGGTCTTCACCAGTGGTCCATGGCACTTCAACAATGACATGTGTTTTCTCCGACAGTGGTCTCCTGGCATCAGAGCTGTTAATTGCGATTCCACCATTCCCATCTGGATATGCTTTCAAGACCTTCCTGTTGAGTTTGCGACTGGTAGAATCCTGACTCGTCTAGCAAGTATGATAGGTAAGCCGCTGTGGTTTGATCAATCGACAAGGCTGGGCAGAAGAATGGGGTTCCCCAAAGTCTGTGTTGAAATGTCAATAGACTCGTCATTTCCAACTTCTCTGAAACTGGTTCCCGGTCTTAAGCCGGCATTTGAAGTCAGTCTGGAATATTGCAATAGACCAGTTGGCTTTCAGAAGTGTCGAGTGTTTGGTCATCAGTGTGAAACTGTTCAAGAGGCAAGGGTTGAGGATTGCACTCCAGTCATTGAGGGTGGGAGAAATGAAGCTGGAAGCGCTGATCAGGTGAATTTGGATTCGATACTGGCTTCCAAGGGCAAAGCTCAGGAGTCTGCTGAGGCTGCCTGTCATAACCTAAACCTGGCCGTTGCAAATCTGGTCAAATCGATTGAGCAGGGAGTATTATCTGAATGGCATAGGGTGGGCTCTGTTGAACTGCCATCAGAAGGTGAGTTGCAGATAGCCATGACAGAGAAAGTCACTTCACCAGCAAGGGAGGCATCCATTTCTCCTGTGGCTAACAGGTATCAGAATTTGGCAGTAGACACATTTGAGGTAGGTAATATCCTGGTAAGTAGTCCAGTTACTCAAAATCTGGAAGATTTTCCTGTATTAGAAGGTGGTGGAAAAGGGAAGGGTAAACAGGGTAAGAAGGGGCCAGATAGGCCTGCGAAACCTAAACCTAAGAAATGAAGGTGTTAGCCTGGAATATTAGGGGACTTAACCACCCCAGTAAGCAGAAACAGGTTTTGGAAGTGGTAGGTAGAGAGAATGTTGATGTTTTTGGAATTCTGGAAACAAGGGTGAAGGAAGGAAAATCAAAAGAGATAATTGATTTGAAGTTTGGTAGATGGGACTGGGTGCATAACTATGAATACTCAGTTCTGGGAAGGTTATGGATATTCTGGAAAAGAGGTTTAGATTTTGTGGTCCTGGAAAAATCAGAACAATTTATACATGGTGAACTCAAGGGGGAGCAGCCTATCAGGGTCACTTTTGTGTATGGTTCAAATGAAGAAGGGATTAGGAGAAGTCTATATCACCATCCTGTACTTCAGCCTGATAACAGCTTACCTTGGATAGTGTTAGGGGACTTTAATGCAATCATAAACACTTCTGAGGCCTCCAACAACACAATTCAGACGCAGAGCATGGTTGAGTTTGATGACTGGATAACTAGGTTGGAACTGGAGGAAAGTGTTTTTGAGGGGCCTTGGTTCTCTTGGACTAACAAGCAGGTGGATAACCCTATTGCTAGGAGGATTGACAGGATCCTAGTAAATTCTAGATGGTTGAGTGTATTTCCCAATTATGCAGTAAGCCTTATTCCACCAAGGCTATCAGATCACTGTGGCTTGCTTATGAACTCAGACATTCATCTAACCACTTTACCTAAACCCTTCAAGTACTTCAACTGCTGGGAAACTCATCCTCACTATGCTGAGATTGTAAAAGAAGCTTGGGGAAAGGAGGTTAGGGGGACACATATGTTTGCTGTTTATCAGAAGTTGAAAGAGGTGAAAAAGCAGCTGAAAAAGCTGAATAGAGCTTCTTACTCAGAAATTTCTGAAAGGGTTCGTCTGGCTCAACATGAAATGGAGGGATTGCAGATAGAAGCTCATCAGCAGCCTACTCTTGAGATTTTCCAAAGAGTAAATGAGTGTCAGGGAAGGTTATTTGGACTTCTTAAAGAGGAAGAAGCAGTTTATAGGCAGAAATCCAGACAGCTTTGGGTAAAAACAGGAGACTTAAACACCTCCTTTTTTCATAAATCTGTAAAGTCTCGCCAGGCTCGATCTACTATTAAAAAGCTCATCACAGAAGATGGAACTGTTCTAACTGATACAAAGGAAATGAGTGAGGAAGCAGTGAATTTTTACCAGAAGCTATTAGGCGCTAAGAATACAGAGGTCCAGAGGATAAACAGTGCATTGGTCTCTCAACTTCTAAGCAACTTTCTTTCCTCTGATCAAGCAGAATCCCTGTGCTATCTTGTCACCAGTGATGAAGTAAAAACAGCTTTATTCTCTATGGATAGGGACAAATCCCCTGGTCCAGATGGCTTCACAGCCAGATTCTTCAAGCTCAATTGGGAGGTTCTGGGAAGGGATGTTACTGATGCAGTACTGGATTTCTTTAGAACAGGGAAACTTCTCTCAGAGGTAAACTCTACTTACCTTGCCTTAATCCCTAAAGTGCAGAATGCTGATTGTATGAAACAGTTTAGACCAATTTCCTGTTGCAATATATTGTATAAGTGTATTGCTAAGGTCCTACAAACAGACTTAGAGAAGTTCTCCCTAGTATCATTAGTCCAAACCAATCTGCTTTCATTAAGGGTAGATTGATTAGTGATAATGTACTCTTGGCTCATGAGATGGTAAAGCTGTATAACAGGAAAACTATATCCCCTAGATGTGCTTTAAAGGTTGATGTGATGAAGGCTTTTGACAGTGTTGATTGGGGGTACTTAAAAACAGTAATGGAGGCCATGAAAATCCCTGCTCAGTTCATAAAATGGATTGAAGTTTGCTCACACAGTACAAAGTTGAGCGTATGTTTTAATGGTGGATTAGTGGGATATTTCTCTGCTCGAAAAGGCCTGAGACAAGGGGACCCTCTCTCCCCCTATCTTTTTACCATAGCCATGGAATTACTTTCATATATGTTAAACAAGGCTTATGCCATTAAAACCCTTCCCCCTCATCCACAAACCCATAGAATAGGCCTATCTCACTTGTGTTTTGCTGATGACCTATTGGTCTTCACAAAAGGAACCCCTGAAGCTGTAGAAAAAGCAAAATCCATTCTAGATGCTTTTTATGCTGTATCTGGATTGAGATGCAATCCTGCTAAAAGTGAAGTGTTCTGTGGGGGTGTGGACATTGGGGTGCAGACTCAGATTTCTTCTAGAACTGGGTTTGCTATAGGGAAACTTCCTGTAAGGTACCTAGGGATACCTCTTATTGCTGGTAAATTGAATAGCTCTGACTGTCAAGCTCTGGTTGATAAGATAACTGCTAGGATTAGGGGCTGGAAGGTGAAGACTCTGACCTATGCTGGTAAAATGCAACTTGTTTCTGCTGTCATTTCTAGTATTACACAATACTGGATGGGGATCATACAGCTCCCTGTTAAGGTGATTAAAATGGTTGAGAAAGCCTGTTCTGATTTCCTGTGGAGTGCAGAGGAAGAGGGGAAAAGGGCAAAAGTTAAGTGGCAATTGATAGCTAGGCCTAAGAAAGAAGGGGGATTAGGTTTCAAAGACCTCAGGAGCTGGAATATGGCCTGCTTGGTTAGGCACCTCTGGGCTCTTTCTTCAAATTCTTCTTCTCTGTGGGCTAGCTGGGTTAGACACTATCAGCTCACCTACACTTCACTGTGGGATATACCTTCTTCTATGCCTTGCTCTTGGGCCTGGAGGAAGGTCCTGAAGATTAGATCAAAAGTTGCTCAACATTTATCAGTCAGACCTACAGGTGTGTATTGGGGGGACTGTGTGATGCACAAGTTTTCAGTAAAAGCAGTCTGGGAGACCCTTCGTGATAAACATGAGGTAGTGCAGTGGTACTCATTGCTTTGGAAGTCCTATGGCACACCTAGAGATAAGCTCCTAGTCTGGCTTATCATCCTAAATAGAATTGCCACATTAGACAAGGTACAGAGGTGGAATAATGCAGTGGTAAATCTTTGCCCATTATGCTCTTCTGCAGAAGAATCCAGAGATCATCTTTTCTTTGGATGTACTTATTCTAAACGTGTGATGCAAGCAATGTTTGCAGGCAGAGATGTGGTGGGGGCAAACTGGGAAGGTTCATTGGCAAATGCTGTATCATTGTTCAGGGGGAAGAACTTTATGTCAGAAAGAGGTAGGCTCCTTTGGGTAATGGTGGTGGCTGAGCTCTGGCGGGAACGTTGCAGACGAGCCATGACTGGGGAGGCTCTATCAGAAGTTCAGCTGCTGAAAAAGCTGCAAGGGCTGCTGCAACTTCTCAGGAACGGTTTTCCCAGGTGGAACTTGTTGTTTCAGAAGACTATATCAGCAGTATAGTGGTGTAGTATTAGAAATGGTTAGGGGTTTTGTGTTTCGCTGTAATTTGATTAGCTTGGTAGTCAAAACTCTTGATTGTAATCTGGTGTTGAACAGTTACTGATTGTTTGGTTCCAGTTGGGGGGTTCTCCTTTTTGGAAAAAGCCCTCCTTCTTGATGAATAAAATCGGCTTATTCATCAAAAAAAATGTACAACTTTAAGTTGTACCATAACAATAAATATATTAATTTAGGTTGTACTATAAAGGAATTTGTACCATTATGTTATGGTACAACTTTACAACTTGAAATTTTACCATCCTTTGTCTTCAGGTGGGATTGGAAAATGTAAACATTGTAGTCGCAAGAAAAAAAGAAATTAGATGTTGGGAAGTTTTTTTTTTTTTTTGCATGAACCTATTACAGTGTGCTACTAGAGCGGTAGAGGAAGGGGGGGAATGAATGTCGTCCCTAGGATTCGAACCTAGGGGCTCTAGGCTGAAAACCAACTGCAAGACCACTAACCCACGACCTGGTTCGCAGATTTTGGAAAGTTTTGCACGATGCAAATGAAAAATAAAAGTTTTAATAATCATTAATTTCCACATTATATATGTAACCGTTAAAGATAATAGTTGATTTCCCCATGAGTTCGGTATTGAACCATATAATTGCCACAACACACTAAATATAATGGTGTTTATTTTATAATAAACTGATATATATACAAATTTTTTATTCGTAAGATAATGCACAACTTCTTTTGTTTTGAATACATGTATTCTTGAATTGCGTGGACAAGATACAAATCACTAGTTAAATTATTATCCTTTTTGAATTTTGAACATGAATAAAATATCACTAGCAGAAGCAAATTGAACACTGAAATCAAACAAGAAAAAAAATGAAGAAACAAAGAGAAGGCACCAAATTTACATGAAAACCCCCAAAGCGGAGGGAGAAAAACCATGTGCTAGCCAAACTACTAAATTTATTGTGATCAAGAAAAAATCTTAAGAGTACCAAGTTATGTAATAAGTAGAAAACTCACAAAAAGAAAAATCACACAAGAAGATATTGCACAATTTAAGAGGCCATTTGCTTTGAGATTTTAAAAAATAAAGGATTAGGGTAAAATCTTGGATTTTGAAATTGAAGAATTGTGTTGGATTTTGCTATTGGATTTGTGTTGGATTTTAGAAATTGCATGTTTGCTTGTTGGATTTCAAAATGGATTTTACTATATTGGATTTATAGGTTAAATGATGAGTTTACCTTCCTATCATTCTTTTTATCTTCAATAAAGTATTTTTGTTTTATTTGTTAAGGATAGTTTGGTAATTTCATAATTAGTGGCGTCCATAAATTTTGGCACTTCTTTAAATCTTACCTCATGAGGTGGGATTTTATAATCTGTGGGGTCCACGGATTTTGAGCATAAGAAACTCCCACATTTGTGGGCTCCATGAATTTAGGTCAACTTCATTTTTATCAACAAACATGGATTTGGACCATAATCCAACACATATGAGATTTTGAGGCAAAATCCCTCATCAAAGCAAACGAGATTTACATGGTCCAACATGCAATAAGGGCTTAGGAGAATCCTGGTCAGACTTTGTTGGGATCCCTATTGTAATTGGCCATTATGCTAGGGGTCTTTCTGTTATTTACCTTTCCCTACGTTGCATGGAGTTAGGGTTTGGTTTTGTATATATATTCGGCCGCCCTCTGCTGTAAACCCTAAGGGGAGAATAGTACTCAAATAATAAAACTCAGCCGAGAGCTTCTGGCTCTCCGTGGACTAGTTTCGTTCAATCTGAACGAGGAAACCACGTAAAATCCTGTGTCGTGTTATTCTTTGCTTCCGCGTTCATCGATTTTTACATGGTATCAGAGCTGTGATTCGGATCCAGCTTCTCTTTTGCCATGGTTTTGGACGACGAATCATCGACTAAAGGTTCGAAGTCAACCATGGATACGGCAGCCGATTCGCAACAAGGTCTTCCTTCGCATCTGCTGTTACATCAATCTGAAAGTCCCAACAATCTGTTTGTTGGAGAGTTGCTCACGGATGTCAATTATGGAGAATGGGTAGTTGACATCACTGATTCACTTATCGCCAAAAACAAGATTTGTTTCGTCGATGGTACGCTTCCCGCCGCACAGAATTTTGCTGAAAGGGAAGCTCTTAAGCGTTGCAACGCTATGGTAAAAGGTTGGTTAAAAACGTCTATGTCCAAGGAGGTACGCAATAGCGTGCGATTTGCCAACACAGCTCAGGAGATTTGGATTGATCTTCAGTCCCGCTTCGGTCAGGGAAGCGCCTCGAGACTTTATGAGTTGAAGAGTACAATCATTGGACTTCAGCAAGAGAAGAAGTCTGTATCTTCTTTTTACACGAGGCTGCGTGGGTTATGGGATGAAATCCATTCCCTTACGCCCTCGATGGAGTGCTCTTGCGCGGGCTGTACATGCGACGTCAAGTGCCGTCAACGTGAAGTCCGAGAAGGGGAGCAGCTGTTTGATTTCTTGATGGGTTTAGACGATGCTTTTGCCACCGTCAAGTCACAAATACTCGCCATGAAGCCGGTTCCCTCACTTGGCGAGGCGTACCAACTTGTTATCAACGACGAGCAGCAACGACAAATTGCTCAGAATCGTCGGCCTCGGTCAGAGGCAGCCGTTTTTCAGGCTCAGGGGGAGCGTCGCCAGGATCGCTTGGTTTCTCAAATGGATCGCGATCGTGATCGTGATCATGAGCGAGATGCAGATGGCAAGCCCAAGTGCTCGCACTGTCAGCGCGTTGGGCACTTCAAGGAAACTTGTTATAGGTTAATTGGGTTTCCTCCGAAGAACAACGAAAGCAAGGGAGACCAGGCCAGACGCAAAGGAGACAAGCGCTCGAGGACAGCCCCACAGGCAGCGCAAGTTGACGCCACCGAGAGTCCTGTTCCTGGCCTCTCACCTGCGCAGTATGCGCAACTCAAAGCTTTGCTCGGCAGCGACTTGCGACAGAACATGTCCTCTGATCTTGACCCGGTATCCAACATGGCTGGTACGTTTTCTGGTAAACCTTCAGCTTGGGTAATAGATTCAGGTTGTACTGAACATATAGTTAATCATGATTCTTTGTTGGATGTCGAGTTGGATAATTCTCCAAGGTTACAGGTCAAAATTCCAAATGGTACAGGTGTTAAAGTGAAAAGTATTGGTACCAGCAAGTTGTCTAGTAATTTATGCTTGGATCGAGTACTTCATGTCCCGGATTTCCAGTGTAACTTACTCTCAGTCAGCAGGCTTACTACAGATCTTCCAGTAGCATTGATTTTCTTGAGTGACTTCTGTGTTATTCAGGACTTACCATCCAAGAGGCTGATTGGGATGGGTAAGCATATAGATGGTCTTTATTATCTCAAGTTGGTTGATGACAAGCATCCCGTGGCGGATTCAGTTCAGCAGTCTGTGAGCAGGACAGAGTTGTGGCACGCGCGTCTTGGCCATCCCTCCTTGGCGAAACTTAATCTTTTGGAGAAGTTTGTTGATTGTTCTTTCATTCAGTCTAAAGAACCTTGTCGGTCTTGTTTGCGAGCTAAACAGACTCGGAATCCCTTTGAACTCAGTAAAATTAAGACTCAGTCTTGTTTTGAGCTTATTCATGTTGATATTTGGGGGAGCTACAAAACCCCATCCACTTCGGGGGCACACTATTTTTTGACCATTGTTGATGATCATAGTCGAGCCGTATGGGTATTTTTGATGTGCCATAAATCTGATGTTGGCCGCTATCTTCTTTATTTCTGTAACCTAGTACGAACTCAGTTTGATAAACAGGTTCGCAGGATACAGGCAGACAATGGCCCTGAGTTTTCGGCCAAGTCATTAACTGAATACTATGAGGAGCATGGAATCATTCTTCAGACTTCCTGCACTGACACACCGCAGCAGAATGGGGTGGTGGAACGTAAACATCGCCACCTTCTTGATACTGCTCGGGCTTTGCGATTTCATGCAAATCTTCCTATTCGTTTCTGGGGAGAATGTGTGCTCACAGCTGCATTTCTCAATAATCGAATGCCGCTGGTCAGCATTGGGAACAAGTCACCATACCAGGTCCTCTTTGGCTCCGATCCTGCGTATGGACATCTTAGAAGCTTTGGCTGTCTTGTTTATGCGCGTGACACGCATCATGGCTTGCACAAGTTTGGAGATCGTGGTAGAGCTGGTATTTTTGTTGGCTATCCGGCTAGCCAACGTGGCTATCGAGTTTATGATTTGGAGAAGCGTCATATCTATACTTCCAGAGACGTCAAATTCTTGGAAGATGTCTTTCCTTATAGAGATGTTGATGATGGTGATCATCCCACGCCAGCATTGGTTTCTCAGCCCAATTTTGGCGTGCCTCCTCCTGCCTTTTGTGATGATGAGTATGTTTCCCCAGCATCCACTTTGGACGCTAATGACGATGACTGCCCCGACTCTCCTGCCGCGGATTTGAACACTCCAACAACTGAAACTTCGGCGCGCCATACAGGTTCCCCCGCTTCATCCTCCTCGTCCGATCGGGCCGCTGCTCTGGCTGACGACCAGGACGTTGCACCACCCGTGGTGCCTGCTGTTCAGCAGACGGTGGAACCCCCTGTGCGCAAGAGTGAACGAACTCGCATACCCTCTACTCGGCTACGCGGGTACGACGTTCAACTCCCGGGGGCAGCTCACTCTGCCACCGTCCAGTACCCTCTCGATGATTACCTCTCGTATCATCGCCTGTCTTCTGCTCACCATGCCTTTGTAGCTGCTGTTACCTCGGTCACAGAACCAAAGAACTTCTATGAAGCTGTGCAACATAAACACTGGCGTGACGCGATGCAGCGCGAAATAGACGCCCTCATCGCGAATGGCACTTGGTCTCTTGTTAATCTCCCTCCCGGTAAGCGACGGATTGCTTGTAAGTGGGTGTTTAAGGTGAAATTTAATCCGGATGGCACCGTTGAGCGATACAAGGCACGCCTCGTTGCCAAAGGTTTTACCCAGGTTGAAGGCATCGACTTCCACGATACCTTTGCTCCTGTGGCCAAATTAGTCACTGTTCGTTGCCTTCTGGCGGTAGCTGTCACTCGAGATTGGCATATCCATCAGATCGATGTGAACAACGCCTTCTTACATGGCGATCTCAGTGAAGAAGTTTACATGTCTATTCCACAGGGATTTGCTCTACCAGGCGATTCTCGGGTGTGTCTTTTGCATAAATCTATATATGGGCTGCGGCAAGCTTCGCGGAATTGGTACCAGAAGTTTACGCAGGCTCTCCTTCAGTTTGACTTTGTTCAAAGTCGGGCAGACCATGCTCTTTTCATTCATCAGCGGGGCTCTTCCTATGTTGCGGCACTTATATATGTGGACGATGTTATTCTTGCCGGTAATGATCTCCCATTCATTAACCGCGTCAAGACTTATCTTCACGAGCGGTTCACCATCAAGGATCTTGGCACTCTCAAGTACTTTCTTGGAATTGAAGTTGCTCGTTCCCCGCGTGGTATTGTTCTTAATCAGCGCAAGTATGTGCTCGATATCCTCGCCGATACGGGCTTAGAAGCTGCTCGACCGTCTCTCACTCCTATTGAGCAGCAACATCAGCTTGGCCGTTCACCCTCTCCTCCTGCAGTCGACTTCAGTGCCTATCGCCGACTCGTCGGTAGGCTCCTTTACCTTACCGTGACACGGCCAGATATCACTTACGCCATTAATGTGCTCAGTCAAGCTATGCAGGCTCCCACTAAAGCACATGAAGCTGCTGCTGTTCGGATACTTCGCTATCTCAAGTCTACTCCGGGGCGTGGTCTCTTCTTCCCAGCCTCGAACCCCCTTCATCTCACTGCATACTGTGATGCTGATTGGGGTGGTTGTCCTCTCACGAGACGTTCCACGACTGGCTACTACATCCGCCTGGGTGCTTCTCCCATTTCCTGGCGTACGAAGAAACAACAAGTCGTGGCGCGCTCTTCTGCTGAGGCTGAGTACCGTGCTATGGCCAGCACTGTCAGTGAACTCCTCTGGCTCCGTTGGCTCCTGCGTGATTTTGGGGTTACTTTTTTGGGTCCTACTCCGTTATTCTGTGATAATCAAGCAGCACTACACATTGCTGCTAATCCGGTATTTCACGAACGAACTAAGAATGTTGAAATGGATTGCTACTTCGTTCGTGAGCGCGTTCAGTCCGGCGACATTGCTCCTCGGAAGATTGCCACCTCGGAGCAACCAGCTGACTTGTTTACGAAGGGATTGAGTGTTGATCAGTTTCATCATCTCTTCGGCAAGCTTGGACTTCTTGACATTCACTCCTTCGCTTGAGGGGGAGTGTTGGGATCCCTATTGTAATTGGCCACTATGCTAGGGGTCTTTCTATTATTTACCTTTCCCTACGTTGCATGGAGTTAGGGTTTGGTTTTGTATATATATTCGGCCGCCCTCTGCTGTAAACCCTAAGGGGAGAATAGTACTCAAATAATAAAACTCAGCCGAGAGCTTCTGGCTCTCCGTGGACTAGTCTCGTTCAATCTGAACGAGGAAACCACGTAAAATCCTGTGTCGTGTTATTCTTTGCTTCCGCGTTCATCGATTTTTACAGACTTGATCGTGGTCCTTGCTCTCTTTCTTGGGGGGAGACTTTCAACAAAGCGATCATTTTTAATGAACCTATGGTGGGATCGGATCACTGCCCTTTGAGACTCGAAATTTTGGGACTCCATAACTCTAAGAGAGCTACCTTCAGATTCGATCATAGGTGGTTCAACTATGGGGAGTGCGAAGACATCATTAGAAGAGTTTGGGAGAGAGGAGGAAATCACCAATCCAAGTTAACCAATTGTACCCGTGAGCTTGTTATCTGGAGCAAGGCTAATGTCAATAATGCGACATTGAGAATCAGGGCTATTGAGGAGAGACTGAAAGTCATTCTGGAATGGACTCGCCTTCAACAATACGCCGAGGAAGAAAAGTTGTTAAAGCTCGAGCTTACCAAACTTTGGGTTGAGGAAGAGATTTTTTGGAGGCAACGATCTAGAATTCCATGGCTACGAGAGGGAGATAGCAATACGCGGTTTTTCCACAACTCAACTATTCAAAGAAGCCTCAGAAACAATTTTGCTAAACTGTTGGATGAAGGCAATAACTGGATTGAAGACAAAGACCTCCTACAGAATCATGTTGTACTCTTCTACAAGGATCTATTCAAGAAGAGTAATGAGAGGTTCAATATCAGCTTAATACATGAGATCCCTTGCCTGGTGGATGATCAAATCAACCAGTCACTTTGTAAGCCAGTTGAAGACTTGGAGATCAAGGAGGCTGTCTTTGAGTTGGGATCTTGCAAGGCGCCAGGGCCCGATGGATTTCCGGGATTGTTCTACAAGCGCTATTGGGCCACGATTGGACAACAGTTGTGTGAAGAAGTCAAAAAATTCTTCCTGGAGGGGAAGATGGCTCAAGGTTGGAATGATACTCATCTAATCCTTACCCCAAAGGTTCTTAACCCAGAAAGAATTTCCCAGTTCATACCGATTAGTTGCTGCAACTTCAGATATAAGGTGGTTTCTAAGATCATGACATTCCGTCTTAAGGAATGGATACCAAAACTAGTGTCTGAAATGCAATCAGCTTTCATGGGCGGTAGAGCTATCCAGGACAACATCATTATTGTCCATGAGGTGTTGCACCATTTCAAAACTCGCCTGAAAGGTGGGAAGTGGGATATGATGATGAAGCTAGACATGAAGAAAGCTTTCGATATGGTTGACTGGGACTGTCTTGATGAAATATTGAAAGCTATGGGCTTCTCTCATATTTGGTGCTCTTGGGTCAAGGAGTGCATCACCTCTGTGAGATTCTCGGTTATGTTCAATGGCAACCCTTCTCCTTTCTTCATGCCCTCCAGAGGCATTCGTCAGGGAGATCCCCTTTCCCCTCTCCTTTTCATTCTCTTAACTAATGCCTTATCCTTCCTCATTAACAAGAATGTTGATAGCGGTAATATTCAAGGTATTACCCTGTCTCCTTCTTGCCCTAAGCTCACCCATGTGTTGTTCGCAGATGATACCATTTTATTTGGGAAAGCCTCAATGTCGGAAGCTATCATTATCAAAAAAGTCATTGAGGACTACGGTAGTATGACGGGGCAGGTGATCAACAACGACAAATCCGCTATTACTTTCAGTTCCAATGTCCCTGAGGCCCTTAAGACTCTTATTTCCGAGTTCATGGGCATCCCTCGCGCTGATGGAATGGGAAAGTACCTTGGAGTCCCGACTGAATGGGGGAGGTCTAAAAAAGAGGTCTTTTCTGGCTTGATTGCTCGTATGGAAGGTCTGGGTCAATCATGGAAGAGCCTTGCCCTTTCTCAGGCAGGCAAAGAGACTCTCCTCAAGGCAGTGTATCAGAGCTATCCTACCTACCTAATGTCATGCTTTCTCATCCCCAAAGGCACAACTAAAATCATGGATGCTAGATTGAGGGCTTTTTTCTGGGGAGGAAATATGGACAAATGATCAATTCACTGGAGAAAAGGGAGTGTCCTTACGGCGGCTAAACAAGAAGGAGGAATGGGATTCAAAGACTTCCACCAATTCAACCTTGCTCTCCTTGCCAAACAAGGATGGAGAATTATCAACGGTGGAGATGAAACCTGGGTACGCCTCCTCAAAGGCCTTTATTTCCCTAACTCCGACTTTATGAATGCAGGAAAAGGCAGGAAACCCTCTTGGATCTGGTCCAGCATTTGCGAAGCCAAAGAGATCCTTAAGCTTGGGGCTAGGAAAAACATAGGAAATGGGAGGAACATTGACATCGATAAGGACCCCTGGATTCCAAGCCTCCCAGGTTTTAGACTTCAACCCAATCAAAGACAACAACTGAAAGTCTTCGAATGGGTTATGAATGATGGAAGTGAATGGAACCTGGACCTCGTGGAGCAATCTTGCCTCCCAGAAGAAGTGGAAGTTATTAAGAGAATCCTTATTGGTTTGGCTAACTGTGAGGACAAGTGGGTCTGGCATCCTGAGAAGTCTGGTACTTTTTCAGTCAAGTCTGCCTATCACCTTTTCAGAATCAATGAACGCATCAGGACAGGCTCAGAGGACCCAAACCACCCTGATTGCACATCTAAAGCCTGGAAATGGCTCTGGAGCCTATCCTTGCCTCCTAAGATTTGGAGCTTTGTGTGGCGCATCACCAGAAATGCCATGGCTACTAATAGGAATCTCTGGTTCAGGAAGGTGATTGCCTCGCCTGTTTGCACCCTTTGTGAGGGGGAGATTGAAGATCTGTGGCATAGCTTCTTTGGTTGCCCTCACTCTTCGCTCATCTGGCAAAGAAGCTTCGTCGGCCTCTCTCTTCCCTCTCCCTCTCAGCCTATCCTTATGTGGCTTTTCCATCTAAAAGATGTGATCGCCCTCAGCTCAGTGGTTGCTATTATTGCCAGCCTGTGGGCAATTTGGACCGCCCGCAATGGTTGGGTCTTCAGTGGTGTCCGACCTCTCCACCATTCCACTTTATCCAAGGCTCTCGCTGACTTCAATGATTGGAATGGTCGTCTCCCACCACTGCCTGCCTCCACCCTTACCCAGCCTCCCCCATCCCGTTCAAGCATTGATCCACCGCCTTCCCCTCTCCAACAGGAGATCCACTGTGATGGAGCTTTCGTCTCGGAATCACAGGTGGCGGCTTATGGTGTTGTCGTCCGCAATCACCATGGACAAGTAATTGACGGAAAGGCTGGGACTTTATTTTGTTCTTCAGCGATTGTGGCTGAAGCCCAAGCCTTGTTGACTGCTCTTCGTATGGCCGAAGACTCGGGTCTACCGTCCGTAGTCTTCTCTGATTGTCAGATCATCATCAACATCTTGCTAGGACGAAGTAGATCCTGGCCTTAGCAACTGATGGCATGGATTCATTCTATGAAGCAGATCCTTGAGCTTAATGCCCGCATTACTGTGGCTTTTACTCATCGTAGATACAACAAATGTGCTGACTAGGTTGCTAAAGAAGCTAGGATTGGATCTCTCCCTCCATAGTGGATTCAGATTCTGGACTTGATCTCTCCTCTGTTGTAATAGGCTGAGCTTGTACCTCAATCGTTTTGGAATGAAATCTACCAATTGTCAAAAAAAAAAAAGCAAACGACCTCAATTTATGGTCTTATAGAGTGGCTTATGAGATTTCCATGGAATTGTAAATGACATTTTTAATGCAAGTGAAACCTACATAATTAATTAAAGCGGTAACTCATATAACTACAAGTTTTGAACTAAATTTGAGGCATTAATACCATCATAAAACACCACTACTTCATAATCTATGCATTTACGAAATCAATTTGTGAAATCATGCATAATTATACAAAGCGAGGTAAGAAAGCCATTGTTAAGCTGGAAATTTTGCTTGGCACGAGGTTAGAATGCTAACACCGAATTTATTATTATGGTGCTAATACTAGATTCAACCATTAAATATATTTCATTTGGATAATTTTTTTATTTTAATGGGTTCACCATAATTAGTGCCGATCTTTAAAGGGAGGGACACTGTTGTCATTGTTAAAAATAAAGAGAGGCACGCACATGTGTCGTTACTCATTTATTCCGCATCCTACGCCTCACCACAAGTATTCTGAAGTAGACCACAAAATGCATACGAGAAACACAATAAACCACACTACAAATAACATAAAGTAGATAAAAAAATCTTATAAAGCAAACCAGAACCTCAATACACTACAAATTCATAAAACATACCTGAAAACACAAAACATACCATAAGTTTTTAATGCAAACTATAACCCTCAAAAAGCAGACCACAAGTCCTGAAATAGAAACTTTATAAAACATACCACAAAATCCCTTAAGCAAACCAAAAACCTCATAAAGTATACTACAAAAAATTTCTTAAAGCGAACTAGAAAGCTCATAAAACAGGCCACAAGCTTCTTAAACCAGACTCGTCCCATTCTCAACTCGTTTTTGCCAAAATTATATATAAATTTTATTGAGATTACTTATAATTAACTTTTATTGTCTCAAATTTTAGTCATAATGAAGTTGTAAACCGGTAACAACCACTATTTCTCAAATAATTTAACTACACTAATCATGTTATAGTTATTTCTAATTTTTAATTGATAAATTAATATTTCTAATGTTTTCTCTTTAATGAATGCAATTGTTTAAAAAAGTGATTAATTCGTGCCTTAAATTGATTGTGTTTCCTCATAATTTCCTGACATTAGTTGCTTATTTGCTAATAGTTTAATGATTATGAAATCAGTAGTAATTAAGAGTAGTGGACTCGCCGCCGGCACCAGTAGGAATGGGCCTACTTCGCAAGCCTTAGAATTCTTTTTTAATATATATAAGCTGGCAGTGAAAAACTTCATCAAATGTGGCTGTAGTTTAGTGGTTAGAATATCACGTTGTGGCCGTGATGACCTGGGCTCGAATCCCAGCAGCCACAAATATTAATTGTTTGTTTTTTACT